AAAAAAAAAAAAAAAAATCAAGGCTTATAGCCTTTTATTTTATTAATAGAACTTTCAAATTTCTACTTTGGCCCTATTTCTAACTATAAATAACCTCATCCTTCTTCATTTTTTCCCACAAAAATCAGTCATTCTCTCTCAAATCTCTTACAATCTATCTATATTATTCTCTGAATTTTCTCACAATCAACTAAGTTTCCAGTATTTGGGTAAATTTTTAGAGCAACTTCCAAGCTTCAATTTAATTCGTCAAGTATTTGAGCAATTTTTTGGCAATCTCTTCAAGTATTAATATTTAATCACGGTTCACTCGTTCCATCTCTTAGTTTTAATATATAATTCTTGCGTATCATTTTAGTGCTTAATTTTTGTGTTTACTCTACGTGTTCTATTTTCGTATTTCATTTGTGTGTTTAATTTATGTGTTAACCTTTTTAATTTAATTTCGTATTTAAATTATGGCTCCTAAAAATGTATTTGGCATATTTTAAAAAGTAGTAAAAAAAGTAGTAAATGTGATAGTAGTAGTAATCCTAGTCCTAGTCTTTCTCCTAAATTAGAAAATATATGACACTCATGTTGATGAAACTTTATTTTTCCAACCTCCCGCATGTTATAATATTAATTTCGGAGAATAAATAGATCATGAAACTTTACAAAGACAATTTGGTAATGATATTTTTATTGAGTACGAAGAAAATGAGGATGAAGAAAATGAGGAAGAAGAATTAGATGAAACACCCACTAGTCCCGCAACACAAACTCCAACTCTGAGTCAATCTCGGTCTGGAGCTTTACCCTTGTACCTCCTATAAGGGGTAAGCGTAAGGTTGAACGTACCAAAACATCACTTGTATGGAAATTTTTTAAACATGATAAAGTCAATGAACTTGCTATATGCAAAAAAAGTAAGCAACGATTTGTACATGCCAAAAGTGATGAGACGGGGGGTCTAACCAGGCACTTACTTAAGGACCACAAATTTTTATGGATACAAGCTCAAATAGATTAGGTGCTCTCAAAAAAATTATATTTGTATGTGATAATTTAATAAACTTAGGGGTTAAATTAAAAGTTTGGGAGGGGGAGGGGCAGATATGACAGTTTATAGCCAATGGGAACGGTTAAATTTGCAAACAAGGCCGCTCCCCAACGACTCTATTTCAAAAAAAATATTAAATAACACCCGGGACAGGACAGGATAAATGGACCGGGATAAACGGGACGAAATGGGAAGCCCGTCCCATCCCTTGTACTATTTAATATGGGCCCATCCTATTTA